GAATGAAAAAAGTTCTCCAGAAGATGTACAATTAAGTAAAAGAATAGCATCTCTAAGAATACATGTGGAAAGAGTTATAAGAAGGGTTAGTTAATTTAACATGTTATAACCACATTCGTGTGTGAATTTTAAGCAAGTACATTTACTTAGTAATATCTGCATAATTGCTTGTTAACTTACAAGAACCTATTTTGTAAGAGTAAATATTAATTTATTAATTTTTGTTTGTTTGTTTTTTTAATTTAATTTACCTAATTATCACATTTCAGGGATTATAATGAGTTTTTAAACAGCCAATGTAATTTTTTATAAAATTTTAACTTTTCGAACAAATCAAAGAGGAATGAGTACCTGTATATGCATAGATTTTTTTGGGACTAAAACTACCAAAACAAAGGCACCAATTTACAGCAGTTTAAAATGAAACATTTTGACAAAAACGCCTATGTCACAGTGATAAATATTAAAAACAACCAAGTTCAGTTGAATGTGGTAGCAAAGTCTATATATTCCAATAAATCGAGTAACTACATGTGGTATCACTGCTGATAAATTTAAAAATATCACAATTCTTGCCACCTTTTTCAAAAAACCAGAAAGTGTGCCTTCTTATCAATCCATTATGAAAATGACAACAGTGATAAATGTGAAAAAAAAAATTTAATGTTGCTATTCGTTATTACGATAGTAAAACATGTTTGCAGTTCCGTTTATTTTTTATGAAAATCTAAGTAAAAACAACTAATGTCAAAGGGTTATAATTTTTTTTCTGTCGAACCAAATATATCACATAATTTAAAAATTGATCATAGGTCAAGCTAAAGTAATACCTTTATTGATAATAGCATTAAAAAAGGAGAAAGAATAATATTGACTTAAGTTATTATTATTAACATTGGTGATTTTTAATAAAAACTCTTCAATTATTGTTTACAAACAAAAATATAAAAATCTGTGAAAATTTTATTTATTAACCATTTAATAAAAAATGAGAAAAATGAAGTAAAAAACAATTTATTTACAAATAAAAAATATATATACAAATCCTAAGAATATAAAAGTACTGATTTATTTTCCTGTAGTGGATGAAGAGGTTTCTTTAACAATCTAGCCAAGTGTACATCAATATTTACGCATTTTGATAAATTAGAGCCTTTCCAATAACACTGAGTAGATGCTACAGATGGTTCCTCACTTCTATGAAGCCACATATTTACAACCAACTGAAAAAAATAAAAGGGTTAGATATGCAGTTACAAAATAACTATATAACCAGCTACAAAATGCCTTTATTTTATGTAACAAGACGAGCAGAGCTTTACTAGCTCTGAACGAATCCAGTAAAGAACCTCGGATTTTCAAAACTTAAAAAAAAACAATCTCACCACATTTTCACATTTTTGAAATATTATAGAGCTTTTCGAAAAAAACTGTCATTTTTAAAAATACAATTTTTTGTTTAAACAGCTATGTCTCATTTTAGGCTATTGAGTATTATAAAATAAAAAATTATGGGATGCTTTGTTAGCTTCAAACGAATCAGCAGAGCACCCCAGTTTTTTTTTAAACCACACCACGTTTTTTGGCTCCTACAATATTATAAAATATTCGAAATTTGGCATTTTAAAAAAAATTCGCAATTCCTTGCTGACTTCAAAGTTTTTTTCTGAAAACAAATGTACTTACCACATTTTTAGGATTTTAAAACAGCCTAAACATGTGTCATAAGTAGTTGTTTTTATATATATAAAAAAAAACAAATTAAAAAACTGAAGTGTCCTGCTGACTTTGTTCCAACAAAGCACCCTGTATTATTTAAAAATAGCAATTTTTTTAGTAAAGTTTTACAATATTTCAAGAGTCTAAAAATGGGGTGTGGTTTTTAGAAAAAAGCTTTAAAAAACCGAATTGCTCTGCTGGCTTCTTTCGAAGGTTAGCAAGCACCATGTATTTTTAAAAATATAATATTTCGAGTGCATAAATATATGGTGTTGCCGTTTTTAAAGAAAAAACTTTATAAAACAGAGGTGCTTTGCTGACTTCGTTCGAAGCTACAGAGCATTTTAAGTTTTGCAAAAAACGAGGAGCATAAAATTTTTGAAAAGGGTATAAAAATAGCCTAAAAATATGGCAATTTTTTAACTCAAAATTTCATAGGTGCTCTGCAGCATTCTTTGGTATCATAATTATTACTAGGTTCACTAACAAAATCTGTTTCTAGATTATTTTAACACTTGCTGCGATTACAAAAAATGTCTATATGTCAAAATTAGAAAAAAAATATTTATAGGAATAAAGGGCCTTATACACTGTTTATTATATGTAATATAAAAACAAAAAAGCATAATAAATATTACAAACCTTGACATGCAGCATATCCTAAGTATATTGTGCACTAAAAATTTCATTTTTGTTAATTACAACAACCTCATCAGAAGGTTTTTGCCGTACTTTATGTTTAGGTGTAATTTGTCTCCTCTCTTATGGAAAAAGAAATTATCCCCATATTCTTGCTTGGCAGATCTAAAAATAAAACCGGAGATAAATATGTTTTACTTGCTCCATATAAACTGTAACTACCTACTATTAAAACAAAGTCTTACCTTTCTGAATTTTGTAAACTGAGTATTGTTAAAAAATGCAGTAATCATCTCGGTAATCATATTTTCGTTTACAATGGGTAAAACACTTGATTCAACTTTTATAAATCCAGCTGATTTTCATATTATTAATAAAATTAAACCAAAACAAAAAACTAAGGTTAGGTGGTGTCAATTTTAATGTCACTTAGATGTGCGTTCACTTCGACATTCTGTTTGTCGGTTTGTTCGTTGGCTTGGTTTTGTATAACAAAAAAAACTTCGACACAAGATGATTGGTCTATTCCCGATGACGTATAATTTCAAATTTTAAATTTCAATTGGGCTTAATTTAAAAACTTTTGGCTTTTTTAACGAACTGACTATTTAGAATAACTTGTATAGCGACTAACTATTACAATATAATTTATAAAACAGCATATCTCACATGTGAACATGGCCCATTGACTGTCCGCCGTCTATCCCAGCACATCGAACAGTGGCCCGGCTGCTTACATATCAATCCATTGTAAAAGTTTACTAAAGGTTACGCCATTCTTAGATTAAAGAAACCGGTTTCTTTAATCTAAGACGCCATTCACCTGTAGAAAGCGCTTCTTATACATTCAAACGGGGCCACGTTTCAAGCGGCTCGGAATGAATTGTTAGAATAGTATTGTTTCAATTGCGTGTTCGGCGTATTGCTTTTGACATTTTATGCGTGCTGAATTTTTGTTTGTTAGGTAGTTAGTTAGAATAGTTGAGTTTTTAAAGTATAATAAATTAAAAATCGTTAGAGAGTCCGTAGCAAAATGAATAAAATAAGCAATCTGGTACTGAAACCTTTTTCTAGGCATTCGCTCGAGGTAAAATCCAAATAAAGGAACTTGGGAGACCTCTTCCCAATTTGGAAATAACAAAAACGCAGAAGGCTTCCACCTCAAGTTCGTCAAAGTTAAAAGGCCGAATAAGAAAGTTTAACCGAAATTTGTACTTAAAAAATAACTGGATTTGTGGATGTGATGAAGAAAACGCATTTTTTTTTGTTTTGTGTGTGTTTTGTTCGGGGGCGATTCTTCGTGGACGATGCATGGTGTAAATGATTTGGTACACATTTATGAAAAAATTAAAACACATGAAAACAGTAAGGCTAGGATTGCCATATTTCCGGAAGCGAAAAGCTTGGCAACCGTGACGATAGAACATTTTTATATAATCAGGTCCAAATTTTGTGACCAGTTCTAAAAAAAAGTCCTCGACTTATTTTGCGTACAACGAGTAGGTAGAGCATTTTTATATAATCAGGTCCAAAAAAAGGTCTTCAGCTTATTTTTTCTAAAACGAGTAGAGCATTTTTATATAATCAGGTCCTTTTTTTCAAAACATTTCTATAAAAAAAAGGTCCTGGTCCACATTTTTTGTGACCATTTCTAAAAAAAGGTCCTCAACTTATTTTTCGTACAAACGAGAGTCTTTTACCCGGTCTATAAATCCGATTCCTCTGCGGCTTTTAAAAAGCGTGGAATTTGCATAAAAAGCTACAGGCAAGTCAAAAAGCGTGGCAGCCACGCCGACAGCGTGACGTCTGTCAACCCTAAGTAAGGCCCATGTAAATAATATTTTTAGTTATTCTTTGCTTGAAAAATCAAATATACTGACTCAATTAAATTCGGCTAATAGACAAAATATTATTGCCCACAATAAACAAGTTGATAAAAACATATATTTTAAACATCATTATTAACTGTATTAGATTTTGTGGTGCATTAGAATTATCATTGCGCGGACATGATAAAACCGAAGAATCCAAAAATAATGGAATGTTCCGAGAATTGATAGATTTTAGTTCTGAATTAGATGCAGATTTAAAGGAACATTTCAACAAAGCAACAGTATTTAAAGGGACCTCTAAGACCATGCAGAACGAACTATTGGACTGCATGCTTGGCGTTTACCATGAAGTGGCTAAATAAATAAAAATAACAAATTATGTAGCTGTAATTGCTGACAAAACTACCGATGTTGCTAATGAATTTCAATTGGTCATTATTCTACGATACATTGCCTCCAGTAAGCCGGTAGAAAGATTTTGGAAATTTATAAATCCTCCCGAACACAATGCCATTTTAATAACAAATTGCGTTTTAAATGAAATTAATCCATTAATTAATGACACACTAAATAAGTTGATCGCGCAGAATTACGACGGAGCGTCGGTCATGAGCGGAGGTATGAATGGGGTACAAAAAATAATTAAAGATAAATATTCTTTAACAAATTATGCTCATTGCTATGCACATCAAATTAACCTTATAATAAGCAGTGCAGGTTCAATTAATGCGTCTGTTCGGCTTTTTTTCGCTCATTTAACTGGAATTTATGCTTTTTTCTCTACATCACCTCAAAGAACAAAAGTATTGGATGGTTCATAGACGATTACCACGCTCATCACAATCGAGATGGAATTTCCAATCACGGGGAGTTAATACAGTTTATGAATACCGAAATGAACTGATACACGTTATGGATATTTTAGAGAACGACAAAGATATTAAATTAAATCCTACGATTAAGCAAGCAGGTGCTTATAAACTTAGATTACAGGACAGATATTTCATATTTTGGTTAACAGTTTTTCATAAAGTCATGCCACATCTCGAAATAATTTTTAAACAACTGCAGACGATTTATACCGACCCTATCAAGGCTAAACAAGATCTAAAAAACTTTAAAAATGTAATGCAAAAAATTCGTAATGAAATATATAAAATTATTGACAAAATAGACTCGGGGCTTTTAGAAACCGAAGATGAACTTGTTCCTCAGAAAAGGCTTCGTTACCCTCGTTCCGATCTATCTGTTTCAACAAATAGAAAAATAGAAGCCTTGGAAGTTTGCGGTTCCATTATAAAACAGATTAGAACACGATTCACTTTCACAGGACATCTGATAGCTACCGCATTATTCATGAAAGAACATTTTATCGAATACCAAAAAAACTTTCCTGATCAATTGCTCTCTGACACAGTTAACGCATATCAATTTCTAGAAAAAATCGTCTAAAAACAGAACTGAAAGTACTTTACGAAAGAGAAGAGTTGCAAACCATTTCTGGGGAGCCATTCCTCTAGTATCATTAGTTTCGCAGGAAGATATAAAGTACACTTTTCAAGAAACTATTAAATTATTGGAAGTTTTAATGGCAACACCTATGTTAACATCCGAAGCTGAAAGATGTTTCTCTATGTTAAAGAGGATAAAAACAGTTTTACCCAACTCAATGAAAGAAGAAAGACTAAGTGCGCTAGGAATGTTATCAGCTGAAAAAGTGTTTCTAAATAACATTGACGACTTTAATAGACGCTAATAAAACAAAATGAAGACTAGACTTCAAATATCGTTCAATCTAAAATATTCTTTATTTTATTGTATAGGTTTGGAGTGCAATAAATTCCTATTCAAAGCTAAATTCTGGTAAGTTTTTTATGTTATTTATTATTTTGTAAAAATGATAAATGCACACGTTAATATACTTTAAAATATTACCCAAGATATGCTTTTTAACGACTTCGAGTCACCCGAAAATGTTAATCCGTGGCTCCACATATGTGCTACGGCACGAGCCGCCACTGCCTGTTCAACCATTATTGATTAATGAAGTTTGTTTTTGTAAAATGAATTTCTATTACCCTTTAGCTAATAAAACATATGTTTTTTAAATGGATCACCCTGTATTTTATTCTAAATCAGAATTCTACTGACTTTGCCTTTTAAGAAAATACCAGCATGCATGAAGTTATACTGGGTATTTTAGAAGTTCAAATCAATTCTATATGAAAATCGTACTAGGTATATTTAAAAATAAAAAAATTGAACAACAAAACTTTTTGATGAATCATTTTTAATGATGGTCTACTTTTATAAAAATATACTAATTTTTTCCTAACGCAACGAACGTGTACAGGGTGAGTCAAAACTCAAGGGCCATGCAACTATTTTTACTAAAATTAATAATAAAAAAAGTTATTCATCATAAAAAGTTTTTCATTACTTAAAACCTAAAATTCAATCGTCTGATACCAAATTTTATCAGTCGTATATACGAGGTTTGTTTAAAAAAAGTACTTTCTCTTGGCAAAATTTATATTGTTTGATGCACCTCGTATATGGCTCAAAAAATTTAATATCCATATTGTCTATAGTCGCTATTTGATAATGCGCTATGGCGCTATTTTGACTAACCGCTATTTCTTTAAGATGCCATTTTTACACGCGCTATTATTTTTCATTTCAGCCATGCTTCATGACAGACCTACAATTTTATAAAGAATACAGCGCAGTATCAAGCCATTATGTACATAAACAATTAAAAATGTGACGATTTTTATAATCATCTACATTAAATTAATATTTATCAGATAGATTTTATGATATATGATGGAACAAAAGAAAATTTGTCGACTAGAGTAGCGTGATACAGCAATAATAATTTCTCGTTTAAATGTTCCACAAATAACTGTCGTATTATAATTAGAACGAATTTGGCTTTGGCGCTTTTCAGAAGTTTATTGACGCTATATTTTAGTCTAAATTTAATTCGAAAGAAAGGTTGATACTTACGCACCGGCCAAGCCAACTTACGTGCACGTCCGGCAACAGAAAAAATATCGTTTTTATATTATTATTATTATTAATAAAATGTGACTGACGTAAACATTAAAAGCGTAAAAACAACATACGCCACAACTACTGTTTTCGTTAGCGCGTATATCAAAACATTGTCACTGATAAAATCAAGTTCCTCGTTTAAAAAAACGTTTGAATAGAAAAGGATCAAGATTTGAGTCCAAAAATGATAGAAGATATCGCAAACAACTTTTATTTGAACTTTTTGTCAAATTTCTCGAATACGGTTTATTTTAGGAAAATTATGTATAGAACAAAAATTATAGAAAATAATATAACAAGCAACTTTTATTTAAAAAATGTTCTTCTCCAATGTTATATAAAGTAGAAAAAACACCCCACATAAAGTACCCACCCAGATGTTCCGACCATGACCAAAATCTATTTAACTCACCGTATGATGGCAGTGGCGCACCCAGGATTTTTGTTTGGGGGGGGTTTCATGATGATGAAGGCTGAACACAGAAAACCAACAAAAAAGCAGATTTCACAATTTTTTTTGTTATTTTTATTAATGAAAACGAAAGGAACATACTACATACATTTATTTGGATTGGGAAAATAAAATTTGAAGGAAAAAACATTCAAGCTATATTGGCAACAAAAAAGCCTTATTAAGCCAAGCTGAGTTTTAATTTTCTAGGCTTCTCGGCGAACCTATTTAAAATATTTTCTACAGACGGAGTCATATTTCTATAAATATGCAAAAGAGTCAGGCCATTTAACCGGTTTTCCGAGGTACTGTTTCTCAAATAACTTTTGAGTCGTCGCAAAACTACGTTCACCTTCAGCAGTAGAGACAGGCAGTATAGCTAATATATGGATTAATGTCCTGATATTTGTAAAGGTGTCAGTGGGTGCTACTTTTTCCAACACATTACTGTTATTTTCCGCTTATTATGTTCTAATTTAACAGTTTTCCATCATACGAACTTGCCTCGTTAATGTTAAAACTCGGCCTAACATGTACGTTACCGATAACGTAAACGTTCAATCGTAGAACCCAATAACGTGTTGTAATGCGCTTAAGGCATCTCTGGGTCGCTTTTCATTTGGCAGTCTAGCAATTGCTCTGTACCAAAGTCTAAGTTCAACAACTATCATCTTTGGTTCCTGTCAGGTCATGTTTATAAAATAATACCAACGATTGGAATTCAGTTATCGTTTCGTCGGTGAGAATGAACGGATCTTTGGGAAACAGGCTTTGAAATCCGGCCAATATTTGCTTATGTTTTGAAAATCTTTCTTTTATGTTACTTATAAAATGGTCCAAAAATGGAATATATATTGCAATCCGGTAATAATCTTCGGTACTTTCCGTATCAACATTACACCTTTTTGTTTGATGTAGGCTAGTTCGTGGTTTATTTATAGGAAACTCAAACTTTTCGCCCAATTTTTTCACTTTTAAAAATAGTTTTTGAATTCCAAATTTGCATTTTCCCGCAAGCTTTGAAGTTCAGCAATTTTATTATTGTAGCTTTTATACTCAACTATATTAAGTAGGTAAAGAATAAAACTAACACACACTTGCTATTTGTTTTTTAATTTATGACGCACGAGTGACAAAAAGATCTCTTCCAAGTTTTGAGTTTTTTTAAGACGATAACACAGAGTACATAACGATAGCAACTTGCTCACAATCATCACATGACTACTTGGAGTCAGTGTTGCCAGATGAACAAAAAATATATGATCCGACACTCAAAAAAATTGTATTTTACTAACAAAAAATTGTATATTGAATATTAATCTTGATAACAATAAATAATGAAGTTTACACAATTAATAAACAAAGAAAAAAATCAAAAGTAATATAATTTTATTTTATTTTAAACTATGATTTAAATTTATATAACAAGGTATTATTAAGAGCGGAAGAACATACAGTATAATATTCATATAAAATTCATTATATCAGTGCTAAATTTCGGGGGGGGTTCTAACCCCCAAACCCCCCCCTTGGGTGCGCCACTGTATGATGGATTAAAGCTTAAGGACAGCGTCTCCTAGGAATTTCTGAACAAAATTATGTCAATTTAGATTCAATCAAGGAGGTGCTGTTACCTACCGACTAGAGATTGAATTAGTGCAAACTATTACAGACATCTTTAAGTAACTATAAATATCGACCGACTAGCTATTAGGGGATATTGTATTATATTGTATTATAAACCGGTTTTTAGTAGACTGAGTTCGAAGGATCATAATAATAGCCCTGAACATAAAATCTATTTTTCAATAATTGCCGGGATTTTACCAAATAAAAAAAAATATTTCGCGATTATGAAAACGGTCCAATCGTTTCATATGCCATTTATAATATTATAAAAATGTTAACTCTAGGACTCATTTTGGAGTGTGAGCATACTTTATTTCAATACTTTTATTCATAAAGTATTACCTACCTATTACATATTACATTTTATTTTTAACGAAAATCGACTTTGTTTCCTGGACCAAAGTAAAGAATGTAGGTAGGTATTATGCAGATGGCAACAACAAAAACGATATCTTGCCTCACATTAAATATAAATATTTTCTAAAACAAATAATTTGGTTTATATACGGGTAGCAATACGAGGGATGTTTATAATTTCAAGTCACGAATATAGAGTCGTTTCAAAATATATTGCCACAATAATTGCGTCACATTGAGTCGGAGTGGGACGCTTGACGTGTCGCAATTCGCAATATATTTTAAAACTATTCTACCTAATTAATAAATTGTGATTTTGAAGTATCGAATGAAAACTATATTCTCATTGGTTAAAGATGGAAGTTTTTGTCATTTGAATGTTCAGGAATATTAATTGTGATTAATTGGTTAAATACCGAAGTTATCTGTTATCTGATGTTGGTACTAACCTAATGTTTTTGGGTAATTTTGACGGTCATTTCCTGGAATTTCCAGGCCCGCATAAATATTTATCCTATTAAAGTACAAAAACCCTACAATAGATATTATGAGTAGGTATTTAACATTCATTTATCTTATTTAGGTAGTTATTTCCTAGAAACATTTCCCTGATTGTCAATAACACATTACCGTATATCTGTGCTAATATGACGTCACGACTTTTAATATACTTAATGAAGGCTGGGGGAAGGAGTTAAGAGTCTATAAATTTACAAACAAGCATACGGGTATTTAGTTTTCAAAATTACATCACACGTTTCTGAAGTGTTTTATTGTGCTGTTTGTTTTTAATAAGTGTTATTTTCTTTAATAGAAAATTGATTTATTTGTGCCAAGTGTCCTAGTGAGTTTCATTGTACATTTTAATCAGTTTTATTTTTGGATAAATTGACATCGACTTCCTGCATTAAAGGTAGGTAGTATTTTTTTAATCACTCTCGAGTTCGTCATTGAATAA